GTCAAACTGCCGCAGAAAACTACCCAGCGGCGCACCAGCAGCCCCAGAGTAGGGCGCCAACTTCATGTCGGCGCGAGTCCTCCGTAGATTCCCCGCGCGGGGTGTCGCCATCTCCTTCACCGGCCTCCCTACCTTTATTCCTTGCCTCGTCGGCAATTGTTCCGCCTGATCCCAGGGTGTTTCTGTCTGCAGTTGCGGCTGCACCTCCCATGCGTCCACCTCAGACTCATCGCCAGTCATCCAGTCCGACCTCCGACTTTCATGCTTGTCATCCCGTGGGAGCAGGTCTTCAGAGGCGCCCGCCAAGTCGATGACGTCTTGCAGCAACTGCCTGGCTCTTCTATGTCTCTGCTGCTCAATCTCCCGCACTGATCGCAGTTGCCCATCGATACTCTGCGGCGGCCGCCGAGGCGTCTCCCTAGATCTTTCCTTCTGCTGCAGCATTCGCTGTCCCACAACTGCCACTGGACTGGCAGCGAGCACTGACAGCAGCGCATTCGCAGAGTCTCCAGAGCTACACTTCCCCCTTCCACCACTGCGCGGAGTGATGGCGTCTGGTTGGTACCCTCCAACACCTTGCAACTCCAACTCGGCCCCGACTGTCTGGCGTGTCGTTTGTCGTCTCGCCATCACGTCGCAATCCCGGGTTACGGCACCACTGTAACGGATTTGCTATTCCCTTTTACTTTACTTGACTACTACGCATCTTGGCCGTGGTATAGGTCCGGTTGCCGTTGTCGCCGCGCACCCTGACTGGGCCGTTACTCCCTGTCCTTTACGATTTGATTACAAGGATCGCGACGAGGCACAGGCAGCCAAACACCCGAGCGCCGAGAAAAGGGGGGGTTCCGGTCGTCCAGTGAGAGATACGGAGGGGGGGGTGCCGGTCACGAAGTGAGAAGTGAGAAGTAGGAAGTAATAAGTATTTATTCGGTAACGCGTGCTAAACAAGCAGTTAACACATTAACCAATTACACAGCAACATCAGCACGTTCGCTCCAAGCCAGACGCGAATCATCATCGCGCGCGATTCAACGCGTAAGACCATCACGCCATCACCACCGTAACACGCGGACTAATAATCCCTACGCGCGATTTAAACGCAGTGCCTGGATACATGAGAAATACGTTCGGTTAACAGATCACTTCGCTATACGGTATAGACTGTCTAACGAGCGTCGTCCTCGCGGTGGCGACCGCTGGTGTACAAAATATGCGGAAGCTCGATTCGCGGGGCGAATGCAAATTGCAATGTTGAGGAAAAACCCGCAATTGTCAGCGTTACGCTGTTAGCTTAAGCTGTAGTAACGCGAGTGTTTATACAAGCTCACTCACAACCTCCGATGTGTCTGCGCACACTCACTGCTTACGCCAGCTACTTATAATTATCCCACCTTCAGTATACAGCCATCTGCATCAGCTAATAACACACGCCAGCTATATTATTACACCATCCGTATACAGACATCAGCTAATAACACACGCCAGCTATATTATTACACCATCCGTATACAGACATCAGCTAATAACATACACAGAACACAAATACACAATAATGGATGTCTCAGTCTGACATATTCCAAACACGCTGGTAACCGTAACGTACTTATTTATTCCGACCTAGCTCTAGTAATGTACGCGCACTACGGAGAACTGATACCAATCATACGACAAATCCCGAACACTCTAGTAATTATGCACATGCACAGTTGATATTGGACACATTCTAAACACAGCTGCTCCGCCATAACCTCCGGCGTGTCTCCCTTTTTTGCGCCGTTTTGGCTTATTGTTTCCACTTCTTGGAACAGTCATCGCGGAGGGTACACACAAATGGTTTATTGTGGGACACCCCTCCCCCACTAGCGCCATCTCTCGTGAGATAAAACTGTAACACCCACTACAGAAACGCACGATAATAAAAGCGAATCTGCTACATAAGTAAAAGCACTATCTTTAGTTTTTATTTATTCTTGATAAGATATATATCAAGAGCGTAAGCTTTCTTAATACGCTCTTGTATATATCAATATGATACGTATATAACTCACGTGTTTATTAAAAATGTTTAGTCAACATTATGTAAGAATAATTGTGGGAATAGCAAATGTGCGATAATTAGTTTTATTTGAGCATTGCCTCAAATACTCTGTAACAATATGATCATCGCAATGCAATCCGGGCAATAGCACATTCTGGGGACACGCCAACTGACGTACTTCAACACTGCCTCTTAGTGGAGCAGTGTCGAATAACATATACGAGTATAGTCAGACTAGGTGATACAATAACAGACGTATGTCTTTCGGCTACCGAATAATGCCATTATTTAGCTTTAAAACGCTACTCTAGGAAGTATTTGCCTCTCCAACAAGGCACGTCAGCGCGACGGCTGTACTGAGCTTCGCATGTCAATCGATGACGCCGGAAGCTTTACACGCAGATTTATTTTGATCATACGAACGTGCGGCGCGAATGCTAAAACCCCGATAAATAAGGCTCCACAATGTGCGCACTTATCCTAATGAAAAGCATGCAGGCGATTAGAACCATATTCGTCGAGATGCTTCGGTGATGACCTTAGTCGAGACACGCGAGTGTTGGATGATCGATCGATTTTGTTACAAAATCAATTCGACACGTGCAACTCTATTAATAGGTTACTCATTAGTACTTTACTCATTAGTATTTTACTCAATTGGACTATGTACCACAACAGTACAAACAAACAAACAAACACACACACACACACACATATATACATACACACGCAATAGTTACCGACATTATAACCGGCATATTACCACATAGGACCGTAAACCGTGGCCGTTTTTTGTGTCGTTTTGCGCGACTTCGTTATGTTCACCTATTTCAGCTGGAGAAATACCACAGCCCGATGAGGAATGTATGTTCATCACGCCCATCACTAATAGCACACTGACGCCATGCGATCCGACGAGTATCCCGATATACATTGGTGGCCTACTGGCGCTAACGGGCAAGAACCCTTCACCAGGCATGGTTCCCGCCGTACAGGTGGCCCTTAGCGACATGAATAATCACCCGAGTCTACTGACTAAGCACGAGGTGCGCGTCATCTACGGTGACACTGAGGTGAGTGAGCACGCCATATATATATATAGAGAGAGAGATAGATAAAGGGTTCCGAGACTTGCACTAAAAACAGCAATATTACCCATAATTCTGTGACGTCCGTCATACCGGTTCGAAAAAGAGCGAACATGTGTTGCGTGTAATTTGCCGATCTGCACAATCAACCGATTTTACATTGGCTATAATGTTATTATTGCAATAGATATTAGCAGTAAGTGGATCCCAATTTTGCAGACAGGTTTATCAGCTGGTTTTGGTGTGCTAGAGTTCTAGAGGATTGTGCGGACCCGGTTAATATGAGCCGGTTTACAGGGTGTTGCAAGCAAGTTAGCAGCGTGGGTTGTGTTAATTGCTAGAGTTCGATGGGATAGCGCAGGCCCGGTTTTGCAAGCAGGTTTATAATCGTGGGTTTTAGGCCCAGGCACTTGAAACATATCAATAAAAAAAGACGGTAAATAAACAAGAAATCTATTTACTACCAAAGTCTTAACGTTTCTATAGTCTATTGTAGACGCGTGTTTGCGCTACGATGTGATATTCTGTAATGGACTACAGAGAGAGATAAGAGAAGACAAGAAGTAACGTTCACTAGTGCTTTATATCTATATCTCTAATACAATACATAAAGTCTCAGTGCGCTAACGAATAGAAAAGTATTACAGTGCATAGTAAACCGTATCTCGCAACTTACACCTTTCTCAACTGCGTCTCGACAGAAGAAGCCCCGAGCCGTCGGCCGCTTCCCCTTTTATACGATGCGCCTTGGTCTCGCGATCACGTTTCCTCCCCTACGTCACAGATCTCTTTTAGCTCCCAACTCTGACCAACCGACCAACCGACCCTCCCGAATACGGTAGGGTGTGGACTGCTACCGCTATCTCCCGCTACCTAATATGGTTGCGGGATGCGTGGTACGCACTTGGGTCAGTGCCACGACCAATTCGGACCATGGTGTCAACGTGGCCATCTATCGGTCAGCACCGTTATCCATGGGTCAGCCCGTGCGCGGCCGCCTGTCACACTCCGAAGATTCATGACTGCGATTCCCAGCCTAGCTGGTGCTATATCGAGTCGCTCTCTTTGATCTTCGTGCCGACCGCTGACCCGCCGCTCCCGTGTCATGCATCGCCCCGACACCATTCTCGCATATCCGCCATCACCTTCCCCGGCGTGTGGCCTTTGCCCGCTTACATTCCTCCCCCCCTACCGGGACGATGCCCACATCGTCACGTCACAGACTCCTGTCTGTCGTAACTGGGGAAAAGAAGTTCGCCCGGGGAGACAATCGATTGGTGACGTAGCAGAAGAAGCGCGGCTCGACTATAATAAATAAAACCCGGCTGGCAGTCTCGAACGAAAACCGTTGCTACCTTACATCTAGGTGTTTCTACAAAAAAAAACCGAACCGATATATAACGCGCTAGTTGCAAATAAATATGCCGTATAAATATCAATTCCTCGAAACTACCGCGCAGCGCACTGGTACTGGCACTGGCAATCTCACATAAGGCAATAGTGCCTTCCAGGTAGACAGCGACCGTGCAGTTATGACCGCATTCCGGTTAGCGATCGTATCGTAAACAACATCTATTTATCTATTTATTCTTTATTTGATTTTTTTTTCATTCTATCTTCCCTTTTTATGTTATTACCATTTTTTTTTTTTTTTTCCCGTAATACTACCTCCTTACAACTCCTACCCCTTCACCAACAACGAACTAACAACTACTCCGTACAACAATGACGGACTACTCTACCACACATTCTGCCTTAGGGGAGAAAGGGGGGTGAAAAGCGCGAGAGGACAGCGCGGAATAGCGGGGGGGATAGCGCGAGAGAGCCGGAAGGGATAAAGCTGGGGAAAGGGCTATGTGGGAGGGGGGTGGTTAGCGAGGCAGAATAATAACATAAATCGGCCGACGCAGCCTGTCGGCGCCGGCGTCGTCCTCGTCGTCGTAGTTGTTGTAGTCGCCGTTGTTGTAGCCGCCGTTGCTGTAGCCGTCTTCGCCGTCGTTGGTTGGGCGATATCGTGGCGGTGGCGGCGGGTATGCGGCGCTCGCCATCCCGTCGCCGTATGGTGGTGGGTATGGTGGCGAGCGGGGCGTGTACGCCCTTGACGACGGCGGCAGTGTGGGTGAGGCCGGCGTATATCTTGCCGACGACGACGGTGTGGTCGATGCCGGCGTACATCTCCTCGACGACGGTGTCGAGCACGACGGCTCGTGCCACGGACACCGTCGCGGAGACAGCGCCTGCACCGGGTGGATGCAGTTGCAGACCTCGCAGGTGGTCTGCGTGACTGCATCCGACATCACGACCGGCGGTGGCGGCGGTTTGCGGAGTCCCGACCGACTCCACGCGTCCGCTCGCGGGCATCCCCGACCACTCCCCGTAATAGTGACGGGCACCGGTGCACTCGCACACTGGCGCCCCATCGCACTGGCGCCGGGAGGTGGTGTGCTCGGTCCCTGCCCGAGCCCGAGACCCAAACCCCGACCGAACACCCGCATCTGGCGGCGGCCTGCCACCTGCTGGCACAGCGGCGTCGTGGTTGGGATTCTGCGTGGGATGTCCTCCCACGTCTCGGCCGGTTCGGCCTCCTCCGCCACTGCCGAGATGGGTACGTACGGTACTTCCATTTCCATTGCTGCTCGTTCGCTGGTTCGTTGCTTGCTTGACTTGACGTTGAAAACTACATGGCGGCGAAGGGAGAGAGGTCAGTAGCTGCAGCTGAGGTACGGATTCGGTAAGGTAATGAATTGACACAGTTTCGTTATAATGAATGGAACGCAACACATTCGTTACAGGTGCTCTCTAAAGATTACTGCCATGCTACTACAGGTTATATCGCCGTTTCCCACTGAATCGGAACTGTATCGAACCGAACGGTATTATTCCGCTCGTGTTTACTCATGCGTTGTAATATTTATCCTACGTAGTTTCGCAGGTCCGCTACATACATGCGGACTGTCTGAACTACTGCCACTGCACTGCAACAACAATACATAGCGATTAGTGCATGACAATCTAATAATACATGTTAGACACTCCTGTTACAAGCAAGTACCAATATCATCCGGCGTTCTCTATACTTTTAATTCTCGTGTACTTGACTTTACGTATACGTACGGCGAACGTCATACTTAATTATTTCTTCTAGTCGTGCTTAGTATATCGCTGCTGTCGGAATCTGCTAACTTCCGCACACTTACTATAAATAACTACACTTCTATGGATCTCGGCACTTCTGGGTATAGGACGGGTAGAGGTGGGGTGGTCGCGCGTAATTGCGGTCGCATAACTGTGGTTATGCGCAGTGCCGGGGTTACAGGCGAGGTGCGGGGCGTCCCCCTGGTAGGTATGAACGTCATGGATGGGTGAGACGGTGTCACGGCAGTCTGTCGTGGCGATGCCGGCCTCACCACAAACGGCTGCCGCCACCCCCCTGTCTCCCCCAGACGCTCACCCCTGCCTGGCCGTTCAGTATGACGACAATATTGACAGGGACTACATCCGTAGCATTTAACAAAAATATATATCCCAAATATTACCGATGCTAGCGCTGCCAACCGCGCATACGTTGAGGCATAGTGCATAGGTGCGCTAAATCGCGCCGTGTGCGACGTATCATATTGCCCATTCGATATCACGTGATTCTTTTTAACAGAATCCTCTAATTTCCTGAATGCCACCTCGAAGTCGGCATGGCTATATAATTCCTTCGGTACTGCCGTGTGCATACGCGGCATCATGCTCGTTGCATTAGCTCGTGGGTCGCCCACCGTTTGAAGTAACTGCTGCCATATGTGTGGGATATCTGGCCAATTATGTAGCTGAAACGACGGCAGCGCGATGTCCTCCCTGGATCCATGAATATAGTACGGGGGTAGTTGAAAATAATCGGAATGAGCTTTACATCCCGCCTGTAAAGTTATCAATTGCTGGCTGGCAATGAAATGCTCTTCTACGCGTGGGGTTTCCGTATCCCAGTCATAACACGATGATGTGACCTGAATTGGAAACGGCGTGGTTACGACCCATACCCCATGCGACAAATAATGTGCTTCCGGCTGAGGTCTAACGGAAAATACTACGACTTTCTGACAGTTAATTTCAATTTCTGCGGTACGATTGCGGAAAAGCGCCATGCCACACGAACTTATCTGGGAGGAGGGGTACACTGGAGTGTTTAACGGGCAGAAATCGTGATTACCATTCAAACACATAAGCGTTTTATGGTTCTCCGGCTCTATGTAATAATCGTGATCCGGTGTTACTCCTAGGTATTTATGTGGCACTTGATATCGTGCCGCTGTTGCTAGGGATGAATTTGAGCCCGGAAAATAGACACAAGGGGTCAAAATTTCATATATGTTGAATAAGGCTTCCCTTTGTCTCAGCGGTACTGACGCGAGTACATAAAAGCCATGCGGTGAAGGAATAACCACTGCCTCTATGAGCTCGTAATATTTTAAGAGGGCCCCCGTTGGCGAATGTGGCAATTGTAGATTTGGGGGTAACAGCAATTGAATGTTCGTCAAGATCCCCAACAGGTTATGGGGTGGGATGAGATCCGTGGATAATCTCCCTCCTATTAGAGTATCGACCGCTCTTGTTATTGCATCGATGGTTGATTGGAGCTGATCAAATGCAAGCGTGAGCCCATTTATAGCTAAATATATTCGGGTTAAATATTTAAATTCCGTCAAGGTATACCCCTCGAAATCTTCCAATTCCCTGGTTATATATTGCACCCGATCAGCGATAAAATTACTGTGATCAACCACTTCTTTAAGCAGCTTAGTGTTTAGCTCCGTATTTATACGAGTTAAATTTATGATTGTTACGCTGTCATCCAAAATAGCGGAAAGGTGGGATTGGGAAATCTGCATGTCGTTAAGTTGCCCCTGCAGATTCTTGACATCGTCCTCTGTAGCGCTACCTATCAACCATTTTGCTAACTTACCGACGCCAGCAAACAAAGATCGCTTTGGCCGTGCCTGATGAAACGAATGTAATCCATGCACGCGTGCGCTCAATGCATCATATCTACGAAGAAAACACTGTAAATGGGTTTGGAGCATTTTATACAGATCATGCGCGAATCCTTGTTCGCCACTCCAAGCAGGATACGTAGGCACATCTTTATACGGGGAAATAGGTGTGTTCAAACGGTCAATCTCGACATGCATTCGGGTAAGGTAGAGGTTTAAGGCCGAGGTGTTTACGGAAAAAGCGATTAACCAGGTGTTCTGTGACACTGACAACTGGCCTTTCTTGACAAACAGCGCTCCGTTCGTGGGCTGCAGTGTCGCGTCCACCGCTGCTGGTGTCAGTACATGCCAGCACAGCGTGGCTAGCACGAGCCTGCAATAAATATGACATCATTTTCAATCCCCCTGGGAACGCAGTGCTACTTGCTGGCGTTCACGGAGTGTGGCTAGTGGGATTTCGTCCTCTTCCTCCCACTGTGAAAAAATGCGCTCCTCATTATCATCCTCAACATCGTACGCATGCACGGGCCTATCGCGTGGCGTCGTTCTCTCTTCCTGTCGCTCTGATGACACTGCTGCCCCCTCTCGAGGTAAAGTATCAGTTAACGTGTCACTCCATATTCCGCTGGGGTATGCAAACCTAAGACTATCGACGTGTACATCCCGCATATTACCCTTACGCGCATGCCTAATACGGAACTGCACAGGAGATAATTTTTTATGAATGACATAATAACTTCTCCAATACGAGGCTAACTTCCTACCCGCTCCTGGTATAACTGTAGGATTATACCAATAAATCTCGTCACCTACCTCAAATTGCTGATTTCTCGCCCTTCTGTCATATAACCTCTTATTGCGTTCTCGCACTCGCGCGGTGCGTTGGTGCATGAGCGTGCATACCTCTGAATGCATGTTATCATAGTCGCGACTGATACAGTCGGTCACGAGGTAGCAAGAGTGTGTCTAATGGGAGTACCGGAGATCTACCATACATGAGTCGGAAGGGGGAATAACGGCTTGTACTATGTTCTGCTGTCCTATACGCAAAAAGAATTGGTCCTAACATCTGTTTCCACTCAGTCTGTCGAGAACTTACTAAGCAGGCTAACATATTCCCCATCGTTCGATGAAACCTTTCACATACCGCATTTGACGCGGGATGGAATGGCGCCGTTGTTACGTGGTGTATCCGGAAGACTTGTGAAATGCGCCTGATCAATGAATTACAAAATTCTAACCCTCGGTCTGTAAGGAAACGCATCGGGCAACCGTGCGTCGGGATATATGAATTTAAAATCAAGTCAGCGACTGTTGCCGATGACTTATTAGTCGTGCAATAGCATTCCGGCCACGCCGAGTATAAGTCGACAAACGTAACTATATATTTACATCCGTCTTGCGTCATTGGTAAAGGGCCCACTATATCAATGCTGACTGTCTCATTGACCGCTGTCGGCATAGGGGCTTCGTGCAGAGGGGCATTGATTCTCCGTAATTTCCTCGCATTACACGGTATACATTCTTTTACATATTTGTGAATTTCCTGGTACATACGTGGCCAAAAATATTTATCCGCGATCTTACGATACGTTTTATCGAAGCCCAGGTGTGCAGCATGCGGTGATGAGTGACATGCATACATCACAGCTCCTACTAATGACCGCGGAATCACGACTTGTGAAAGGGGGGAGCAGTAGTGTTTGTCGTATTTAAGTGACACAAAATCTCCTCCTCCATATAATATGCCTCTATTAATTTAATTTGGCGCAATGGTACATGCGGTTGGGCCAACACATTAATAATGGTGGCGAGCTGCTCGTCCTGTCTTTGCAACTTACGAAATTCCGCTCTATTCGTGACACCCGAGGGCGCGCACGACGGTGGGTGAGTACTTATGGCGTGCTGAGGGCCGTTGACCTGTGTCGTAGCTGGGACTGTGTTGACCGCGAAACATGCGGCTGCGATATCGTCGCTCTCACTTTCACTCTCGCTGTCAGCCTCCTCCTTACCTGGGTTTGTTGCCAACCTAGTTAACGCGTCTGCTTGTTCGTTGTATCTCCCCGGCCTGAATTCTATCTGGAGATCATAACCGGATAATATGACTGCCCACTTTTGTAAGCGGGCATTAGTCAATGTTTTCGCCGTTAGGAGGAAACGTAAGGGTTTGTGATCGCAGTACACGATTGTTTTTCGACCGAGAAGATATTGCTTCCACGTAATCAGAGAAAAAATAACCGAATAGGCTTCTTTTTCCACAATCGCCCATCTTAATTGTGCTCCTACTAACTGCTTACTAAGATACAAAATGACACGCTCGCCCCCATCGTCCCCCACTTGCGTCAAAACTGCAGCTATTGTATGATTTGACGCGTCGCAATACAAAGAGAAATCTCTGTCAGGTGAAGCTAATGCCAAGACCGGAGCAGAAATGAGAGCCTGTTTCAATGCGTCGAACGCGTGCTGTTCCTCTGATGTCCACTTAAACGTTACTGATTTACCCGTAAGAAGCGTGAGAGGGCGTGCAATGGCCGCGTAACCCCGTATAAATTTACGGTAATACCCGGCTAAACCGAGAAAACGTCTTATATCGGTTGCCGTCGTGGGAGGCCGTAAGTCAAATACGGCACGCGTTTTGGAGTCGT